CCTATAAACAACAGGTCTGAACCCTGTCCTATTCTGTGCTATCCTCACACTTTCTGAAACACTAAATCTCATTGTATCAGTCATCTTGTCAACCCACCTGGTTGAGGGTCTTCCTCTCCTTTGCCAACCCTCCCCTTTTCTGAGCATCATGTCTCTCTCCAAAGGATAGCCTCTCCTAGAAACATGCCCAAAGCAAAGCCTCATTATCTTTGTCTCCAACAAGCATTCTGGCTGCACTCTATTCAAGACATATTTGTGTTCTTTTGGCAGTCTGTGGCATGTTCAATACTCTTCTCCAGTATCACGGCTCAAAGGCATCAATACTTCTGTCATCCTTATTCACTGTCCACCTCTCAGATGCATAGCAAGTAATTAGAAAGAACATGGCCCAAACTAGATGTACCTTAGTCCTGAAACTGAATGTGCGAAATAGATGCTTCAAAATTCTCACCTCTAAGGAGCAACTTGGTTTCACTCTCTCCAGGACAAACCTGTTTGTTCTCTTGGGTGTCCATAGAATGCTCAACATTCTTCTCCAGAAGCACAACTCAATGACATCAATCCTCCTTCTGTTATCCTTAGTCACTGTCCAGCTCTCTGATGCATAGCAAGTAATTGTGAAGACCATGGCCTGAATCAGTTGCACCTTAGTCTCCAGACTAACATTATTGCTCTTTAGCATTCTGGAGAGATACCTGATAGCAGATTTCCCTAATGCAATTCATCTTTAGACTACCTGACTGCTGGTGCTAAGAGTATTGATTGTGGAGCCAAGCAAGCTGAAATTATTAACAATCTCAATCTCCTCTCCATCTATCACAGGGCTGCCAATTGGCCCAGTGGTAAGAATCTTCGTTTTCTTGATGTTGAGCTTCAATCCATATTGAAAAGCGCAGTCCTTGACTTTCTGAAGCAAACGCTTCAGGCCCTCCTCATTTTAGCAAGCAAATTTATGTCATCTGCATAACATAGTTTTTTGATAAGTTTTCCTTCAATTCTAATGTCACATTCTTCTTCATAAAGCCCAGCCTCCCAAATGTTCTGTTCTACATATAGATTGAAAAGGTGTGGAGACCTCTGTAAACTTTCATTAAAATCAATCTAAAATTAAAAGAAAAAAAAAGTGTTGCAACAAGATGCGTCTCTGATATATTCCTTTTTTTATTTTGAACCATGAGGTTTTTCCTTGCTCTGTTCTGATGACTATTTCCTGGTCCAAATACAGGTTACGCAGGAACACAATCAGATATTCTGGAATTTCCATTCTTCTCAAAGTTAGCCACAGTTTGCTGTGATCCACACAGTCAATTGTCTTTGCATAGTCAATATAATTTGTCAAATTAATTTAGTCAAAACCACAATAAAGCAAAATAACTTACAATGATAAAAAATAATTCATTTAGTCACCTAGAAAGTTATATAACATTTTAGCATTCTGTTATGTGTCCTGGATTAGGGACCAACTCATAACTAACCCTCCAGTAGTTTTCACAGGCTCTTCACACTGGAAGAGATTGCCCATCTTTATTTGGTGGATCTAACCACCTGCCTCTGGAATTTGGCCTGGAAAACTCTGGTTGAGAAGGTAGAAATTAGCAAATTTCAAGAAAATAAAGGAACTCAGTGACTAACAGATTGGTGGAGAGTTTACAAATAAAAATTTTATTTATACCTTAATTCTGGCACTATCCAACCCCACATATCCCAAGAAATTAATCACTCCTGCCTGTAGCTTTCAGCACCATTTGATGAAGCCTTGAATGGTTATAATTACTGTTGAGGTACCTTTCATCCTAGAACGTTAATTGGAAAGGTGCAATGGATTTCTATCATTTCCACCCCCATCCAGACCTGATAAAGGCCTACCCCTCTCCTCCTCTAGTTTTAATGTTTAACGTTGGTAGAATGGTTTCCACAATTTACAAGCAGGCTAAGATCGTAGGACAAGCCTAGAACATTTCTCACTATCTTCAACAGGGGGCGCGGCGGCCTTGGTGACACACCAAGTGACCTACCAAGGCTGGTCTGGGGCGCTTTGCGGGCGGTCTCCACTAGTAGCTCCTCCCTACGACCCGGGCGGGAAACCCAGACCACTGAAAAGAGACCCCATTTGGGAAGACAGCTGATGTTGCCCGAACCTGGATGCTTGGAGGTCACCTCGCGCTCCTTCCCAGGCGCATTGAAAACCGAGCGCCGCTGTCCCAGCGCTGGTAACCAGGCGCACACGGCCCGCCCGGCCCTGTTTGTCCTGGCAATGCGCCGCCGCTATTTGAGGTGGTTTTTATCTCGCAAAACCCAGAAAAACCCCAAGCGGAGTCTAGAAAAGATGAAAGAGGCCGGGGAGGGGAGAACCGCGAGGCGGCGGCGGGCAGAAGCTGGCACCGGACTGGCGGGACCCGGAGGCCAAGGGGCCAGGCCCTGGGGGGTCCCGGGGAGCCTGCAGCGCGGAGTGGGGGCCGGAGCCCCGGGAGTTTTCTTTGGGATTTCTCCCCTAAGCCAACTCCAAGGCGGCCTCTGTCCCTTATGCACTCAACCCCTTTCCTCTAGCTATTTCCGCACAGGCCCCCAGCCCACAAGTCCTGGGAACTCGAATTTCTTCAAAGCGCCTTTGAAGCCCCGCGCCCCGGGAGGGCAGGAGATTTCGCACCTGGGCGGGGTGGGGGTGAGGAGGGGCATTAGTAACTGGTCAAGCTGGCCTGGGACTCCCCGTCTCCTCCCACTCATTCCTGCCCCGCCAGCTCCTCCCCAATCCCAGTGACTTGGACCATCGGACCCGGGGCACTCAGAGTCGAGCCCAGGTCGAGGATGTGAATGAGGGGCGGCTTGTGAGTCCCCTCAGCCCAGCCGGGGAACCCTGGGGGGGCAGGGGCTGCACAAAGCACTATTGTGGCTTAAGGATGGCCGCCACAGAGTGGCTTTTGTTCCTCGGCTAACTCCGCGGCGGGCACGACTGATTGCAGGCCCGAGGGAGGGGGCGGGTTACATGCCAGGACAGGTCGGCCGGCTGCGAGCGGCCCAGCTGCCAGGCTAGGGTCATACAGGCAGTTCGAGCTCGGACAGTTGTGTTCACGCTTAAGGAGAGGTCATTGCCGCGACCAAGGTAGTTTAGTGCAGCGTCTGAGACAGTGTGTATGTCTCCAACCTTCCCAACTTCGCAGAGAGAACCCGGCAGATTAAATAAAAAAACAACCAACAAAAACCAATTCAGCCGGAGGGCCTAACTATACATTTCACAGAGAACATACAGAACAAACAACATGCACAATAGCGTGCCCACGGGAAGTCCCCAATTTGATAAGGAAAAATCCTATCGCTTGCCCTTCACCATTCCTTTCCCCTCATTTCTCCGCGGGAGAAGCCTTCTCCCATGCGTGCGATTAACTGGGAGGATCAGCTATGGGTCAGTTAAGACTGTACGGTACCCAACTACAATACTTTAAGTCAAATTTTTATTTTATTTTATTTTTTAAAAAGACTCCATGAGGCCATGATCCCTTCCCTTTCACAATATTACCCTCTCCCCAAGCTCCAGCGGCTTTATTTAACCCTTTAACTTGGGTCTTGAGGAAGCAGAGGTGGGAAAAGGAGGATCCAAAGTCACAGGAAAAGCATTCAAAGGCACGAAGCGGCTTTAAAAGTCACTGGTGGTGGAGTTGGGAGCATCAGAAGTCCTAGGTAGGGGGCTTGTGGACCCACCTCAAAATCAACTTGGGGGACTTCTGTCCTCCTAGCTCAGTAATTTTCTTCTTTCTCATGGCTTGTAGGCCTAACAGTGCCTTGCACATAGCAGGCACTCAAATGTTTGATCTGATCCCAGAGAAAGCTTTCCCTACACATACTTCAGGAAAGGCACCTCCAAACCAACGTCCTCCTGTCAGGTGGGTTTTCACAAGAGAGCAAGTCTAAAATGGAACCTTTAAGCTCTCCATAACCACGGCAACAGGAGATTAACCTGATGGGGTCATGGTGTCTGTGGAGCAGTGAAAAGACCCTGCTCTAGGATCAAGGGAGCAAGGAGAAATTCCAGTCCTTCTCCCTCCATAGGACTTGAGATTTCACAGCTTCTGGATAGGACTGGGGATGTTAGGGTTATTCCCTAATTGACTTATCAACTCTTTAACATAGACCTATAAGAAAAGATTCCATAAAAGAGCAACCCCATTGACTGAGACCCTGATTATAGAAATCATATTAACAAGATCTCCACTAACACTTTGTTTATACAGAGATGCATTTGGCTAAAATTTCCTTAGAAATGGACCCCCTTCCCTCCCCAGTTAGTTCACTCTATCTGACCCGTCATCATAACTTAGATAAATAGAATTATTATTATTACTATTCATTACTCTTGGAACAAAGGGGTTAAATACACAGGCCTAGGGGCAGCCTCCCTGACCCTGGGGTCACCCCATCTTTGGGATCAGATCCCCACTGGTCTGCCCCCATCTTGGCACCCCACTCCCTGCCAGGTCACTAACCCCAGTCCCCCATCCATGGACCCTAATGAAGGGGCCACCAGGGGTCAATAAATTATCATCATTGTCATCACTGTGTGTGGTAAAGAAGAAAGCACTGGAGATTGGAAAGTAGTAGAGTAAGAAGCTGAGAAGACTGGAAGCTGAGGATAACTAAGCTTGAAAGGATGAGTGCATGTCAAGGAGTTGGTGAGATAGAAAATTTAAAACTGGAAGCCCAAAAGGAAGGGAAGTGAGGTGAAGTAGCAAGAGGAGGAGCGAGAGAAGCTATGAGCTGGGGTGAGGGAAGAATTAAGGAAAAAAGATTTCATGAACCACGTCCAAGATGAGAGCCTTGGATGAGAGCTTGCTGAAAGTCAGATCTGTGGTAAAGGGAGAAGTGACATGAAGAAGCATGCAGTGAGATGCTCAGTACCAGAATGTCCAGGGGTGAGGTGGAGAAAACTCTGTGGGGGAGCAGGCAAGGGACAAAGAATGTAAAAGGCAAGCAGTGGTCTGTGGAGCCAGGAGAGACTGGCAAGACAGCCCTGAGATGGAGACACTCTACCCAGCTCAGATCTCCAGCAGATTGCTTTGCTCAGGGCTGCCTCCAGGGGCTTTCTCTGGGGGTGTGGGTGAGGTGGATGGTCTGGGTGTCTGACTAGCCTCCTCTTCCCCTGTGTTGCGGGTCTCCCCTAGCTCCTTGGGGCCAGTGGGAGGAGGCCCAGGGCCGGGCTCTCCATGGGTACGCTGGTGTTTGCTCAGATGATCGCTACGGGTAAAGCGCTTGGAGCAGAGCAGGCAGGTGAACTTCTTTTCCCGGGTGTGAGTGCGTACATGTCGCTCCAGCTCATCTGAACGGGTGAACCTCTTGCCGCAAAACAGCCAGTTGCAGACGAAGGGCCTCTCGCCTGTATGCCAGCGCAAGTGGGCCTTCAGGTGTGAGGCCTTGCCATACACTTTGCCGCAGCCAGGGATGTGACAGCTGTGGATGGGCTTCTTCCGCAGCCCGGCTGCAGCTGCTCCCAGCCGCTCTAGCTCCTGGCAGTTGGGGCAGTCACAGGAAGAACGCCCTGCCCCACTGCCCCCATAACCACCACTGCCCCCGGTGCCTGCACCCCTCTGGGGTTTAGCTCCACCACTCCCCTCCAGCTGCCCACTGTTGCCCACTGCCTTGGGTTTATAGACATCTTGAGGCAGGACATGCTGAGGCCCTGGTTGCAGGAGGTGGGGAGCTGGGTAAGGGGCTGGATTAAGGGGAGCAAAGTCAGATGGATAGGTGGACAGCTGGGGGTTCAGTGGAGGCTGAGCAGGACCTGTGGGCAATGTCCCTTGCAGCCCATCACCCTGGCTCTGACCACCACCTAGCCAGTTGCCCCCAGGATGCATGTCCCACCAAGGAGTGGGAGCATTGCCTGGGCCTGGTGAGATGCCCGCATGGATGCCTGCCTTATACCAGGAGCCATATGGGTGTGCCATGTCCAGGGAGGTGTAGACACTGGGCAGGCAGTCAGAGGAGCTGTGCCCTTTGGGCACTAGTAGCCCAGGGTCCTGGGTGCCTGTAGACCCAGGAAATGAGTGAGAAAAAGGAGGGTAATCATTTGCATAGCCCGAGGAGGGTGCTGGAGGACTGCCTGCAGGTGAGAGCAGCCCATTGGTGCTTGAAAAGGGAGCTGGATAGGCATCTCCCATGGTTTTGGGGGACGAAAGGTCACTGCCCACAGTGTATTGCTTCTTTGTTCCTACTTTGCCCAGTGTTGTTGAGTCCCGCAGAGGGCTGGAGCCACCAAATTTGCTGCAAGCTGCCGTCAGCATGGCGAGGGGGCTGGAGCCATAGTGAGCTTCCTCCTGTGGGGAAAAGGAAGCACCACTTAGGGCTAGTAGAGAGGCAAGGAAAACCCTGACGATGATCTCTAGACACATGGATAACAGAAAAGGACAGTCAGGAAAGAGTTGATGGTAGAGGAAATTAGATAAGGGCCAGTGAGGACCATGGGCAGATTCAGGATGGGATCATGGAAGGAAAGCAGTGGCCTAGGTCTGTAACACAGTGCCCCACCCCAGAAGGCAGGAGGTGGAAATCATTGTGGGGTTTCTAGGAGTGTGCATGGGGCCTTCTAGCAACTAAAGACTGTTCTTAAATAGCTATGAGATGAGCAGAAATAGAAGCAATACCTGGGTGAGGTAAGAGAGTCTAACCCTTGCCAGCCCAGAGGTAGACAAATCAAATCCACCAGCTCCTCTATGAGAGAAAGACAGGCAATCTCTTCCTGTGTTATTATACACTCTGAAAACCCACAGGAAAGTCAGCTATATGAGTCAGTTTCAACTCGATGGCAATAAGAGAAAACCTCTCCCTAAACGTAGTTTTAGAGCAAAGCTCAGGAGCAAGGGTGTGGAGGAAAAGCTTGTGCGTGAAGAGCAGCATGAGGTGAAAGTAGGTTTTAGGAGTTTTCTCCCATTTCAGATCTTCCTGATGTCACTCCACATTCCACTTTCTGCCTCTGCTTCAGTTCCTGACTAAGGCAATGACCTGGTCTCCCTAAGGTCAGTCCTTATGTCCCTGGTAAGGAATCTCTTGGCAGGAACTCTGGGGTAGTGGCAGAGACACTAGGACATTGAGAGGGAATAGGGCTACCGCCAAGCCAGGACTGTGGCTGAGGCAAGAATGTCTTTCAAGCGGGTAGTGGGCACCTCCTGCTTTGTGGCGCCAGGCTGTACCCCTTTGGGAGGCGGGGAGGAGCTCAAGTCCCTCAGGCCCCTCCAAGGCTCACAGTAGTCTCACAGCCACATTTCTCCATGCCTGAGTGTCCACTAACAGGCAGCCTACAAAGGTAGTTCCTTATCGTTCTTCTGTAATGTGAGTTAGACAAAGTATGCATATACAGAGCATGAGATCTTTTAGAAACACAGAGGTATCATCTTAATGCTGCTGCTGCCAGAAAAAAAGGCAGGTCAAACCACTCTCAAAATCAACACCACTTAAGAGTTCCTGATGCCCTCACTGGATCAGCCTCAGGAAATCCCAGGAAGAAGTGTGCTCCAGCATCCTTAGCATAAATAAGTATCCATTACTAAAAATGACCCAAAAAATATCCTCAAGAGTTGATCTTGTGCAGTTCCTTGATTAAATAAAACAAAAACCTGTTGTCATCGAGTCAATTCTGACTCGTGGTGACCCCACGGGTTACAAAGTAAATCTGAGCTCTGTAGGGTTTTCTTGGCTCAGAGCTTTACAGATGCAAATTGCCAAACCTTAATTTTTCAAGTACTACTAAGTTCATATCACCAGCCTCTTGACTGATAGTCAAGCATAGACCATTCATGCCACCCTAGAGACTGTGCCTGGTGATTTCCCAAGGAGGCTGAGAAGGAACCCAAAAAGTCAGGGTCCACAGCTCTTCCTGATAACCCCTAGATGTGCGTGTGCATGATTTTAATCTTAGAAGTAGGTTAAGAGTCTTAAGGTTACAGTGGAGAGGTGTATGAATGCTCCACAAAGCAAAACTGCTGCCCACCCACCTTGAGTTACCTCCATGGATTCCCAAATTAGAGATGCCTAAAGCTATCCTAAATTTGGCCCTACTAAATCCCTAGGGTCCCTCCCAGTGTGTGGAGGCTGTGATCTTCCAAGCAGAGAGTAGGCTAAGACAAGAATCAAATCCTAAAAGAAAGACATAGAAAAATGGAGTGAAGGGGAAAGGCAGAGACCAAGACACATGAAGAGCAAGGGGCATATGCAGGGATGAGGGATTGACATAAATGTCTCACAGAGATGAGGGGAAAAAAGAACAGAGATGGAAAATCAACATTAAAAGACTGAAATGGGTAGGGACCCAAAAAAGCAGAAAGGTTTAAAAAAAAGGACAAAAAAGCGGGGAGAGGAAAGCTGAATAAACAAAGAAGGAGAGGTGAGAGAAAAGACTGGTACAGGAAAGCTAAGGAAAACAGAGGATGGCAATGAAGTGGGGAAAATAGGAAGGGAAGAAGGAAGAAGGCTGACTTCTTACCTAAGAGAAAACCACCACCGTGCTAGGCCCAAGAAAACCCCCAGACCAGGCCACTCCCCCCTCCTCTTCTCTCCTGACCGCCCCCTCCTCCTCTCCTCAGCCCAGCCCGGCTCCGTTGGTTTCCCTGCGGTCGGTTTATTTTTAAAAACGCCGACGCCATCCCCCCACCCGGCCCTCACACTGTGGCCACAGGGGCCTCAGCCAAGCCCAGGGACCCCACCCAGCTGTGGGGAGAGGAGGAGTGGTGAAAGAAGGCAGGCAGCCCCAAGCCAACAGGAGACCCCAGTCCTGGGAAGTAAAGCCTACAGGACCCCTGAGGACAGGGAAGAATAAGCAAGGCCCATTCTTGAGGCTGTTCTGTGCTGGAGACCAAAAGCTAGGCTTGGGGCTATGTTCACCATAGATAGCCTCAGTTTCCTTCTCTCGTTTTCCTCTGAGAATTGAGCAGAGGTTCCTGGTTAAAGGTTCTGAGTGTGCTCTCCCATGTTTGATAAATGTATTACCTCTCCAGGACCCAGGAAGCCAGTTTTCTAGTTGTCTTCCTTGACCACCTCCCTTTTCCATCATCCAATTAAAAAAAAAAAATGCCTTAAGTCCTGGAGAGGGAGTCTATAGAGAAAGAACAAAATAGAAGCTAAGAGATTCTTGTTCTTTCATCCTGATGTGGGATAGAGAGGAAGGAGTCCCAACTCCCCTGGAAAGGCTCTCCATACGTATATCTAGGGGCTGACCAATCTGCTTCCAGTTCTCATCTTTTCCAGGTACTTCTCAAAATTATCCAGTCCCACCTAGCTCCCCTTTTCTCCATCCTCCCTGTATCCTTGTACAGACTCTCTGTCCTTGTATGGATCAGATGAGCCTCTCATCAAGCAGCAACTGTTTCCCTTTCTGAACCTCAAGTTCTTCCCACTGCCAGAGAACCTGCCTGTACCAGGCAGAGGAATCCTGCTGGTGATAGCAGAGTTGGTTATTAAAGCCCCAGGTCTCTAAAAACTAGCCAAAAGGAGTGGAAGGACCAGGGCATCTTTGTTTTGGGGCCATTTCTATTCACAGGGGGTAAGGGGACATGCAAGCCTAGTTTCCTCTACATGCTCTTCTTGTTAAGTGCTGTCCCTATCCCATGTCTTTCCAGCAGGTCCCTGGGCCAGTCCCTCCCCCAGGCACCAATGCCACGCTGGCAGCTCTGGCATGATACCCACCTCCTGACACTGCTCTTGCCCTGGATGGACCTACAGTTTCCATGCACCTATTCCTCCGGCTTCCTCAGGACCACAGTGACTCAATATAAAGCTCCCTGGAGACCTGGAATGGTAGGCAATTGACCCCAGTTGCTGCTGGGGTATAGTACTTGGCTCACCCTGATTACATAGAAAGACCAGTGACAAGAGGCATGGTACCCTATTGATTTACCTGCCATTCCCTCAAATTCATTCACAACCTCATTCTCACAGCCCTCCAAGTACACCACCCAGCCCTTGGAATATTATTCCTTAATAAGACTAGCAGATACCCAGCTAGCACAGCCTTACACACATGCACACCTATCCTCTCAGAGAGTCAGCTGCAAGCAGGCACATTAATTAGTTTACACTCTAACACCTGCACATACACTCAGGCCAGTGAATGTAGGTTTAGGTTAGAGTGAAGACTCACTCCATCTCATACATCCTCTCCTACAGGTAAATGAATCTGCCTCCTGTTGGACCCATCATCCCTGGGACCTGAGTTAGGACATCAGGGGCAGAGATGGGGGTTTTGAAAGGGCCCAAGAGTAGAAAAGTTTCAGGGTTATTGAAGGAAATTGGCATTCAGGGCTGGCTCATGGCCCCAAATTCCTGTAGGACAGAGATAGAGACAGAAACAGAATAAATGACCCAGAACCAGGGAGAACTCAAGATACTAAAACTGGCTGGAGTTCCCCATACCCGACAAGATACTGCTCTCCAGGCCTTCTCCAGCTCCACACCCTGAGTCTCCAGAAACCCTGCTGCTCAGTGATTTCACAGGGATCCAAACCCTGACCCTCTGTGGCAGTTCAGTTTCCCTCCATCCCCAGTGCCAGAAGCAAGGGATACTGGGGTCCCAGCCTGGAGGGGAAGTGGCCCAGTCCGCCCTGGAGCCTCCCACTCCCAAAATAGAGCTGAGTTTGTCTTTGGCTGAAAGCTAAATATTTGTGAGCCGGGCAGGCGGCCTCAGACCCTGTCCCTCCCCCTTGGTTCCCTGTCAGGCCTGGGCTCAGTTCCCCTGGCCAGCACCAACCCCCCCACTCCCCATGCACAGGACTGCCCTTCTTCCTTCTCTCATAGCCCACCTCCTTTCCTACACAAATCGGGCTCCAGGCCCAGCCCCCTGCCCACACACAGACAGAGAAGATGCTGCTGAGGCTAGGCGTCCCAGGAGACAGCACCCCAAAGAACTGTCTCCAGTTACTGTAACTCCGTGTCCAACCAGTATTTTCTGCCCTCTACCTTTCCACTTATCGGTTACCAAGTTATCCTCTCCCCACCTCTTCTCCCTCCTTTCTTCACTCCTTTCTCACTCCTTAGAGTTGGAGTGCTTGGCTAACCCTAGTCTCCAAGCTTTCCTCTAATATAATCTTTTCTCACCTTTCTTTGAACTGCCTTCTCATTCCTGGTCCTGCTTTATCCTCCCCTTCTCTTGTCCTCTGCTTCTGTCTCCTCTGGCCTCCCCTCTTTTGAACCCAGTTCTCTCCCCTCACCAGAGGGACCCCTGGAAGTGGCAAGCACCATAGCTCCTGTGTATGAGTTGAGGGTTGGGTGGGCAGGGATTGAGCCATTATTAATATTGTCATTGCTTTCCTGGAAGGGAGGAAGGGGCAGTTACCTCAAGCAGGGAGGATGCCATCCTGAGGCTGGGGAACTGGGTTCCAGGGAGCCAGGCAGATGGAGAGAGCTGAGCCGGGAGAGAGAGAGAGAGAGAGAGAGAGGAGAGGGAGGGAGAATGGGAGAGAAGAGATCTAAAGTTAGAAGGGACTAGGGGGTGGGGGTGGGGGGGCTGCTCTCTGTCTGTAGGGATCCACCCTCTAATTACAGCTTTCCCAGTGGAGAAGGCTCCAGATCCAATGAGGAGGGCGAGAGAGGGAGGCAGAGGGTCCAAATTTCCTGCTCCATTTGCTGAGCTCCCCAAAGAAGAGATCTAGGAGGGAGAGGAGAAAAGGGGGCACCCAGGGTAGGGAAGAGAAACATGGAAGGGGAAATAGGAACATGGGCAAATTGTTAGGGCTTCCTTAGGGGCTGCTGAGAGAGGAAATGTGAAAGGAATGGTGGACCCAGGTGTCCTGTACACCCCTAGTATTCCCATAGCCATCTGTGGTATCATGTACCTGAGTAGCGTCTGGGACTGGGTGTCCTGGGTCTCTCCTCTCTGGAGATCTGGTAATGAGGGTGCAGGTAAAGGGTGGCCTGTGAGTCCTGGAAAGGCTCTGCTCCTCTCCTAGACCAGCTCCACTCCTATTCCCACTCGGGCTCCGATTCTAAGATCCTACTCTGACTCCAGAGTCTTGCTGATCGGCTGCTGCTGCTGCTGCTCCTGCTGCTGTTGCTGCCGCTGAGGCTGCTCCTGCTGCTGCCGCCGCCGAGGAAAGGAACAGGAGGGAAAAGGAACAAACCCCAAACCACTAATTAGAGATCCAGGGGGGGGGATGGGGGATTGGGGACAACACTCACACAGAGAGACTGGAACACACTGACATACACACTCATGGAAGAGCACAGGGATGATACATGTATAAACGCACAGTACTACCCACACGAGTACAGCCACTGTCATGAATGAACACAGACGAACTCACGCATAAATGCGCACAGTAACAGGGCTGGAAGCACACTCACACCCAAGTTGGCCGCAGTGATGCTTACTTCCCCAGCACCCATCCCTTGATGAGAGAGAAAGAGAAAGAGGGTGTGTGTGTGTGTGTGTGTGTGTGTCCATGCACACATGCTGTGTGGGTTGGTGGCTTCTGCTGCCCAAATTCTCAGGTCACTGAGGTGGCTTCCAGAGTAAGGCCTGAAGGGAATAGAGTGGGAGAGGGGCGCTTAGCACAGCCTTGGGGAGTTCATAATCTAATCTTCTCCTTAATGCCTCAATTTCACTGCTGGGAAGTAACATCCTAGATCTACCTCACTTTGGGGGACCAGAACTTGAGTCTTTTGATTCTGAGAAAATTTAAGGCAAGTAGGAGCAAGGGTAGAGGTTGAAGGTAACTGAATCAACTTGTTCGTGCCTGAGCCTCACCTATTTGGATCAACAATCCCCCCCACCCCACCCCCAAAAAAATGTCCTTGCTAGTGACTCTTCCTGGGTCCCTTTTGACCACAGAGCTAATCTCCACATTTTGGTGCAGAGCGCTGAGGAGTGATATGTGCTGTTCTGGGACGACACTCCTGATGCCTTGGTCATTACCGTGCATCAGTTCCCTCTGCAACAGGAAGAATGGAAGCATGGAAGAAGGCAAAATTTTAAGCTTTGACTTCTCACCAAAAAGGATAAAACAAGAAAGAATATCAACCAGATTGGGAGAGAGGAAACTCCAAAAAATCTATTAACTGAAACTTGGGCCCTTAGGTAAATTTATGGGAGAGAAAGGACTAGGCAGCCAAGTGGTAGAACCAGCATCTCCCCCACAGAGGGGCCCAGCCAGCTGGGGTTGTTTCACGAGTTATTTCTCAACACACACCTCTTGCCCCCTCCTAGCCCTGCCTTGCAGAGGAATGAAGCGTTGTCCTTTCCCATCCTCCTAACTCCTCAACACAGTCCCCTCACTTTCTCTTTTGACCACAACTGAGTGCCCACTTCCAGGCTTCTTTTGCTTTCTTAATTCTGTAAGGGGAAAGTGGGGAGGGGAAAAGAAGAAACAACGGGAGATCTGGGGAGAATTACACAGCAGCCTCAGTTTAACCAGCTGGCAGTAGTAGCACAGTTCAGAATGGGATCCAGGAGTTCTGGCTTCCAGCCCCTTTTGACTTCTCCCAAGAAATCCCATGAACCCAAGTTGGTTTTGTTTGGGGTTTTTTTTTAACCCAATTTTTGACGAAAGAGTTAAGGGATCAACGTCACTGACTGGCAGTCTAAAAGAAAGAAGCAAGAACAAAATACAGAAAGATACCCAGAGTAACTATAACAACATAAGAGGGGAAAGTGTAGAATATAGGAAAGACAAAGGAAGAGGAAACAGTTAGCCAGAGATGTGAATTTCTAAAAAAGAGCAGAAAAATCTAAAAAGGGTACAGAAGCTGCCCAGTGGAATAAAGATGAGACAATAGCTTAGAAGGACAAGGAAAAGAGCCGGAGGCAAGGCCAGGTCTGGAGGAGGTGGAGGGTTAAACAGCTTGGCAGGTGGGGGGCGGGGATGGAGTATAAATAGTCCATAATTGTGTCCGATGATTACAAGGGCCACCCCACCCGTCTGCCCAAGAGGAAGTGCCCGTGGTGGGGTGTCCCAGTGACCTCACGGTCTCCTCCTGGTGGTGGTGGGGGACCTGAGCCTGAGGTGACAGTTGAATTCCTGGGGTCCCCAGCTCAGATGTTGGGAAGAGTGGGAAGCTCTGAAGAAAAACTCTACTTTCAGAAGAACAACAAAACAAAAAAAATCTAAGTACTAGTTAGATCAGGCAGGAAACTGAGGCAGAGGAGAAGAGTTTAGAAAAAAGAAAGTGTTGGGGCTCAGATTAGATTGGAGAAGAGAGGGAAATGAAAGAGGTTGATAGGAAAGATAAGGTTAGGGAAGATGAATTAGAGAAAGGAGAGGTCACCCTTTTTGACTCCCCTGTGGATGTTAATCCTACCTGCGAAGGTTCAAATCCCAGAGCATTAGGGAAGGGAAAGGAGGAGCAGGACAATGTGGTGTCAATTGTTCATGGGCAAAGAATTCCCTGCCCTACGTTCTATGCCAAAGCCAGGCAAAGGGGCCCCCTGAGCCCCCCAGTAGCATTCTTCATGCCTGCTGCCCTTAGGACCCTGGCAGCCGGATTTGACTTTTCTTAGATGTTCTTTCAAGATAGTCTGGCAACCCAGCCAAGCCCCTGGACCCCTGGGTCAGCCCAGCCTTTGCTGCCCTTCTCTGTGTACTCAAGTCCTGGGGGCAGCAACTAGAAGCCCTGACCAAAGGACCTGCTTCCACCCTCACAGGCCTCACTCTGCCCAGCCTCCCAGGGGGTGGGGCAGCCCAAGTAGAGGCGCCATGTGGCAGGGGCGGGTTGAGGCTGCGGCTCTGGTCCTTCCAGTATAAACCCCCTAGGCATCTGGTTTCTATCCACTACCCCCCACCACCCTGGGGGCCCCTTAGCCTCCGCCCACGGCCACCCAGACACTGAGCTCTGAGAGATGGATGCCCCTAAAGGAAAGGGTGGGATGGTGCCTTTCTGATCTCCCAACTCCAGCACTGGGTTGAACCACAAGGGACCACTCCCTTTCCTCCCTCCTCTAGGAGAGTCAGGGTGGGATTTCTAGGTTAAAGGGGTTGAATCTGGAACCTGCTTCATTTCTCTCAGTGGCTTTGGATCTTTGGGGCAAGATCAGTGGGAGTGGAGAGAGTATGAAAGTGAGGGGTAGTGGGCGACATTTATTCCCCTGGGCCCAAGGAGCTGTTTCCTTTTCCACTGTCTAACTTCTGCTCACCCTTGTGTTTTAATGTGCTGTGATACCGCTAATCCAAAGGGACTCTTAGCCTTTCTCTTTGCCATTAGTGAGGTAGGCCTGACTATTTAGGGACCGAAATCCCTGGGACCAAGGAATAAAAAACCAAATCCAACGGGCATTGCTATGGAGTTGAATCTAAGTCACAGGCATCCTACGGGACAGAAGAAAACTGCCTCATAGGGTGTCCAGGTTGTAATCTTTCCAGAAGCAGATTACCACATCTTTCTCCTGCTGAACACTTTTTGGTTCTAATGATGGACTTTTTTATTAGCAGCTGTTAAGTGCTTAACCACTGTACTACCAGAGCTGCTTTAACAAAGAATCTCAAAAAACTTTCAGTGCCTTTGAGTTAGTTCTGACCTGAGTCAGGTTTCCGAGGTTGGACATTGTAATAGGATGAGACTGCCCGTCTTCCTCAAGAGGCAATGATTCAAACTATCAGAGATGACACAGCCTTTGGTTAGCAGTGAGATGCCCTACGGGCTACATCACCAGGGCTCCCGTAACAAGGAATCTCTCCCTAATTGCCATCAAGTGAGAATTGACTCATAGGTGACCCTTTGTTGGGTTTCCAAGGTTCTAAATCCCACTGCTGGAAGAGATCACCTGTCTTTCTTCCATGAAGCTGCTGGTGGATTTGAACCACTAGAGAGGTGGCATCTTTGGTTAGTTAGCAACATAAAAAGGTGCTTGAATAGAGAGATTGACACATTACCTAAGGGAGGTGTAGCCTAGTCCATCAGGAGACATCCTGTTAACCCAAAGGTTGTGTCAGTGTATCTTTGAAAGGTTTGAATTCACTAGCAGCTACTTGGAAGAAAAATTGTCAATCTCCTACCATGCTATTTACAGCCTCACAAACCCAGTTCAGGGTCAGCTATGAGTTGGCTCCAGGCCCAAAGCAGTGGGTGACTACACATACCTAGTAAGTAAATCACATTCAAACACATTCTTGCATACACACTAGGTTACAAAATTCCCATACTGTGGTACGGTGGGTTAATTATTCAAAATTACTTTCCTAGGCCATTTCCTTTGACTTTCAACACATACAGAGTGACAACATGTAAATAAGGTATGAAGACTACTAATTATGGGATTGGTTCATCTTGCCATCCTGCCAGGTTTAAATAGGCAGAAGATCTTGCAACGAGCAAGAAAGAATAAGAAGAAAATTTAACACACATCCTTTTGGGGCCACAGAGATTCCTGAACAAGACTGAGTAGCAGCAGTAG